AAGCATGACTTGTCCCTGTAGTGTTGCCAAATATATTAAACATACCTAACAGAAAAGAATTTTAAATTAATTAATTTTTAAATTATATGATTTAAACAGTTTATATCTACGAAATATCGCCACAAAATAACTTATAAACATTTAAATAATCAACTAATAATATTTATGTGTAATTACATTCCCAAAAATATATACAAATACCGTATTAATGTCATTAATACCGTATTTTTAATGTTCAATAAGCGATTCACCTACAAATTCAATATTGACCTGGCAATAGCAGTAAAATCCGGTGTTTCAAGGCTATATGACGCTGCCCTTACAGGACCGTTTGTAGTTTATTATTTATGCCGCGTTTGAGAATCCACATCGGATGCATCTGAGATGTAGTAAGTAGTAAATCTTTGATCACGTGATTCAGTATACGTAAATGTAATGGGACAGATGTGTCCGATGTGGATAAAAAACGCTCGAGATGTAAAAAATGCATCCGATGTGGATTCTCAAACGCGGAATTAATTACACCATGAAAGTGGCATTTTATTTTTAGTTTTGTGTAGTGTTTAGTCAAATCCTAGGTACAATAAAAGACATTTTTACATTGGCTAATGAAAATGTAATCAATGTATTAGGCAGCTGTTATATTTATTACAAGATTTATGTCTGCAAATCTAAACCTACCTAAGAATTATAATTATGTAAATAGAGATCTGTATATTTATATACAGGCTGCCCAGCGACGGGGAGACATTATCGATATCGGTTTTAAGGCATTTTAAAACATAAACCCGATCTCAACAATCTTAGGAACTCTTCTGTCACTCGATATTTTAATCGGTACTTCCTCTTCGTTTTTTGGCTGGCACAACAATTATTTACATTTCTTCATTCCTTACGGCGTTCGAACCAGTAAGGTTTAAAGAAATTTAAAAAAAAAACCTACTTTAAAAATAAAGATGTTAATGATTTTCTTATGGATCCCATCTTCAGATCTTGACTTAATGTATATAAAACTGTTTCCTTTTCTAACAAAAAGAATCCTAGAAATCGGGCAACGTGGTAAAGAATTATCGCTCAACATACATAAAAAAATATTTCAACGAATTGAGAATATCCTACCATTTTGAAGTATGTTAAAAAAACTTGTTAATAAAGTGAAAAGTAGGGCATGAACATATATTATAAAGTATATAAAATGATAGATAAATCCAGTTTAGAAGGTATTATAAATAAACTGTGGAAATATCGAGAATCTCGATTTTGAATCGGAAAAATATTCTACGCAATTTAGTATGAAAGCTGATCAAAATGAAACACATGAACGACAAACTGTTATTGACAACTTTCTTCAAACGTTTTCTATTTTTCCGAAAACTAACTAGATAGTTCGAAAATCATTTCCTTCGTTAAAACGCCTCTTGTTCCGAAAAAGGTACACGCCTGTCAACATTCATCGTTCATTAAAAAAGTGGTAGATACAAAACGCTTCGTATTGTAAGGCCAAAATATATTTAGACATCGAAATATTCATATAAACAAAAAAATCATATGAGTGAGATAACTACCAAATTAATGATTTACAAGTTTATTCCTATTATTTATAAAATAGGTTTGCAATGTGCTGGTGTGGAATGTTATCATCGACTAAAAACTTTAAATCTTTGTATTAAATTGATCGAAAACAAACTATAAATTGGTTTAGGCTATATAGAATGTTTCTAGTAAGCAGCAACTAATTTTTATTATGGAACCGAAAGACCCTTTTAAAAGGGTTCAAAATTAAAATAAAATATGTACCAAGTAAATGTAGTAGTATTTTTTAATTTTTTAATTTATATTGAAAATGGTAACATGAAAGGTTTTCTGTCTAACGACTCATAGTCTCGGCTGACAAAATGTAAAAAAATGTCGAACATAATATTCCTGGGCGCTATTTTGCACTCCCCAGATTAAATTTAGTTGTAGCAAATGATATTATCAAATAAGATGTCAAATCACAAGCAAAATCTCGTGACTACAGTACTAATGATTGCCTGTTTGGAAAAGTATCTTTGTTTGTAAATATTTATATGCATAGTTATATTTAAATGCGCGAGTGTAATGTTAAGTATAAACAAAATCCGCCCATTATGTATATACGTTTAGTTACCGACCCTAGTAGATAGGCAATTTGTTATTGTTTTAAGTTTTACCGTAGGGAGAGAGAAAATCAATATTAGGATAAATGGTCCAGCTCCTTTCTGGTTACGTAGGTACCTAAAAAGTATTTTAGTTTTTGGTTAAGTAATTAATTATTGTAACAGTGATTTTCTTGTGATAGTACCTAATTTAGATTGTGGATTAAAGTTTTTGTATATAATTTCGCTGTTTAATAATAAACGTAGTCAAAACCGGAGCACGTGGTTTTTCTGGAAAGTATTTTTAAAATCACAAGCAAAATCTCATGACTACTGTACTAATGATTGCCGAAAATTAACTAATTCACATTTTATGCCATATCTTTCTTAATAAGGACTGTCAGAACCATATTTACCTTAACTTGAAATTTTTTTAAATCGTTTTTTGTATAGAATCATCTCTAAAAATGTATGATTGAAATATCGTGCGAACTATTTGTTCGATCAATAAAAAACTTGCACCGGTCCTGTTCGCGCCAGCACCGTTATACGCATGAGCTCCGACACACTATTTTCTCCTTATGGTTTCATTTTTGATATATGGAATCGGCTTTCTATACTATTTCTATGGTATACATCTTCAAATTTGTGTGAATATGAGAAACTTTATATGAAATGAAATATTTTCTGGAATTTTACGCAAGCATGTTCTCAATATTTTACAGCAAATTGCTAAAAATCTATATATGCAAAAAATACGCAACAAAAATTGAACAAAGCGACCTGACTCTAGGAGACGACAGTAGTTGGTCACAGATTACCATTTTTTACGGTTTTCTATCTTTTTCTAATGGTACTGTGACCCAATTAGTCTATACGAATCATTCTAGTGTGTAATTTGAAAACCGCTAATAGGCTGACAGTATCAATCATTAAAGAATCTTAAACAAAGCTATTATGGAGGGGGGGTTATATTCCAGGCAAACAAATCATGACAGTTATTTACCAAATTTACTCATCCATCCATTCAAAATTGGTATCAAAAGTATAAATAAGAAATTAACGAACACTCACCTTTAATTGAAATCAACGAAGTCCCATGTTCCAATCGTTCTCTCCTATTTCCAATCCAAGATCCGAAAACCATTTTTTTCGCGACACCCGGTATATTTAATTCCGGAAATCTTCTGAGCCCGGCGACGATCTCTCATTCTGACCTCAATACTCAACGTCTCATTCCGTTTCGATAGCAAGCCTTCAATGCCTCCAGATTGTCATTAAACTCAAATTATTTTACTTTGTAACCAAAAAATTACAACATTATATTGTTTCTATATAAATTTTACAGCATGAACTGTAGAATAACAATATATAATATATATACAAGGTGTTAAAGGAAAAAATAGATAGAACTCTAAAAAGTATGAATGGTTTATGTTACAGTATCTTAAAGTTGAAAATTAAATTAAATTAAAATTAAATTAAAGCTAAAATTAGAGAATGTTTTTTATAGAGCTTACGTTATCAATTAAAAAAAAGAATTGGAGAAATTTTAAAAAACTATATCGCTTAAAAAATAAATAGTTGTGTCTATCTATATTAAAAAAATACGGTTTTTACAAATAAGTTCATTTGAGTTTAATAAAAATCGTAAAACCATCGCCGGCCACTATTTTTGCAGCCTTGTCCATTCGATCCGTGCAGAATTTACACCTTCGAAAAACTAAATCCTGCAAAATTTTTCGCTCGTACTTTTTCCACAGAAAATAAATTCGGAAGGTGTAAAATTCTGAAGATCCAATGTCTTTATTGTCAAATGAAACGATTACAAATATACCACATCGTCTATGTCGATACAACAGACAGAAAGATATTTCTGCGCATGTGTCCCATCGGCATAGAGGATCTCTGCAAACATGAGTTGCTTTTCGAAAAAAAAACTAGTTTTAAAACCGAGTAAAATTGATGTGTATCTAGCAACTCCAACATACTCCTACCCGTTATATTTTTCGGACTAATAGCGATTCGACACTTGGATTTTAAAGCACTGAAAAGAGAAAGAAATAGCAAAATTAGATATATTTATTAATTAAAATTTAAATAAATAGAAAATTAAGTTTGGATATCCAGTAGGCACAATGTAAATATTTTTTTCAATATTTCCCCCTCGAAACGGCACGCTATTGATATACTTAAAAAATATTACTTGTATGTTCCCCTTTCTAAAACGACACCACAATGATCTATATTAAAAATAATTGAATGTAAAAAATAATTAAATTCTAAACGTAGGTACCAAAAAAATTTGAAATTAGTTCCTCTTCTCTCAAGAAAGATATAGGCTCTTATTAAAAAAAAAAATTATGTTGATGGTGATGACGATCCTGAAGATAGATAAGGAACGTTGCTAACACATCCACCTATCAGTGTGTCAAATGGAATAAAATTTAAAACAATTACTAATAGAAAAAAATTGAAATATAAAACCATTTTGTTACAAAAAAAAATATATACAGGGTAACAATTTAAAACATCCCATTGACAATACCGCCTGAGAAAAAAAAATATCAAAAATTTCTTGGGACAAGTAGATTTTTATTCCAATGAATACCTTCCTATTATTTTTCAAATATCATACGTCATTTCCCTCCCCTTCGTCACACTAAACAGTGGCGTAGATAGGGGATATCAAAGAAATCAATCCCTCCCCCATAAGTCTACGAAAATTATGAATATATTAAATAAAAGTATCTTCATCTTGTTTATGTATACTTTGATGAAATTTTGGAAGTCATATATCTCCTTTTGCAAAAAGCTACGTCATTGCTGTTACGTATTGTAACCCTGGAAAAATGTAACCAATATCACAACCAACAAGACTATATGGAAGAACAAAGGGAAAAAGAAAATCTACAGTACAAAATTGAAATTTTTTCTAAAATTCCAAGAAGAGTCATAGTCGAATTTCACTTCCACGCAATCAAAAGGAAACTTCCTTACATATCCATATCATATTCACCCCTCAAACTGCTTATCAACATCGGAGTTGCAAAATCCTTTCTTACTCTCAAAACTGCAATCAAATTTAATCCAGACAACGTCAAACGTGAACCATTCATAGTTACTTCCATCTTCCAGAATCATTCACAAGATTATTGTGCTGAAATTCCAATATTTCCAGAATTCAATACAGATGGCAACTTCAAATTTTATATCTTCAAATTTTACAAAACCTTTCATGGTCTTATAGACCTTAGACAACCTTAAATTCCTTAAAGCTTATGTTAATCTCCCAGAATCGAAATTTATTACCGAAAATTCCACAATTTCTATTCTCTACTACGAGAGTAATAAAAATTATGTTATGTTATGGATAACATTCTTAAAGGACGTCAAGGAGAAATATGCTTCGTATACATGGACTATATAACCTTACTGCACGGTAAACCTTTCGAGAATATTTCAACGACTACGAGAAACTGGATTCAGTCCAAGTAGATACATATGAATTCTTGGAGAAAGAACTTGGCTTCTTGGGACGTATATATAAATAAAACCCAATGGAAACAAAATTAAAGCCATAATGGACTACCCTATATCAAAGACAGCAAAAGATATTAGAGGATTCCTACGATTACTGGGATAGTATTGAAAATGTATAAAGGACTTTGCCAAAATGACCAAACCACTAATGTCATGCCTCAAGAAAGATTCAGCACGCACCAGAGTTTTTGTAAAGCATAAACACTAGGTGATTCATTTCCGCAAAGTTTTTACACATAGAAAAAAAAATCTCACCAAATTTAAACCCTTAATATCAATTTTAAGTACTTACTATTTAAATTTAAAGTTTTACCATTTAAAATGCATGTAAAAAAATTTTTTTTTTAATTTCTAATGCTTATCCACCTTTTACAATAATGCAAATTGGTTTAATGGACCTTGTGGGAAATTTGATGCTCTTCGAAATTGTTTGATGCATTTTAAATGGTAAAACTTTAAATAGTAAGTACTTAAAATTGATATTACGAGCTCAAACTTGGTGAGAATTTCTTTTTCTATATATAGATTAATATTTTGCTCGAGCATCGAAAACAAAAAACAAAATTTTGCGGAAATGAATCACCCCAGTAAACACCTGCAAGAACATTTTTACAAATGAATCTCTACTACAGTATCCAGACTTCTCCTAACCATTCAATTTGACAAACAGATACAAACACATCCCCAACTAGCCATTCATAAAAGTGTATTTGTTGTGAAGTTCTCATCATCATCTATTGTATAGTCCAGGAGACAGTGACGATTTTCGGTATTTATTTTCCCAGTCAACAAGCACGAATAGAGAATTGTAGGATTAGCAATTCTAAGCAAAATTCATATATATTTAGAGGGGGGATCCGATGGGCTGAGGCCGAAAATGCGTCAAAACATACGAGAACACGGCCCTTTTTTTCCATTGATAAAAATAGTTTTAGTAGTAAGAGATGTGCTGAAGTTAAGTAAAAAAATAGTCTGATTAATCTGTATGGATAATATATTTGGCAAGTGCATAAAATACACTTTCAAACGAGTTACGTACACAATTATTTCTACGACCACAATTATTTAAAGAATGTTCCAGGTGTTTTGTATATTAAAGTGTACGCATAGGACACATAAATAAAATCTTATATCACAATGTTTCACCTAACCAGTTGGTTTATTTATAGAAATTAAACATAATAATTGAAGATATTACAGAAGAAAATAGGGAAATAAATTACATTTCCTTTTACACTTTTATATAATAATTGTTTTATTTAGAATTCACGAATCACTTATTACTCTACATTAATTATAATTATTGTTAGTTTCGTTATGTCAAATCATTTATACTAGAGGTGTGAGGAAAATACAGTGAACTGTGGAACGCCAATATCGTTGGATGCGCGTGGTAGAAATGGTCCTATAATACTGCTAAAAACAGCTAAATTTTCATGGAAACACTGTACTTTTGACATTTGCGATACTCCGACGCATATGCATTATTGATGTAATCTCATGATTTTACAGTAATAGTTTTTGCAATTTTAGTGTGATTTTTAGGTTATTATGGTTATTCATTTTATTTGGTTCTGATCTTTTGCGCTTTTAGAGTATTTGTCTTTTATATAGTTTTTAATTTGAATTTTAATATTGTGGTCTATTTGTATTTGATTGCTGCTTTTCGACTAGTGCTTTATTCTTTTTGTGTTAAAATAAGCTTTATAACCATTAAGTACATGCTTCTAGTTGATATCTACCTAATCGTCATCGGGTGCTTGCAACAATGGGAAAAAGTGTATGGTTTTTTTGGTGTAAAGATAGACGCCTTCATTTTTCAGGTAAGTTATTTGTAGTTATTTTTTACTTAAAAGGATAGCAATACGTCCTGGTTCGGGGTGTGACTTTTGGGTTTTAGCTATCTGAGCCAAATTGTCGGCTAAGTGTCCTCTTTTAGGGCACCCAGAACCGAAAACTATATAGGTATATAATATGTTTTTTTTTTAATTATTTTTTAATATGTATGCAGCTTTAGGCTTTAGGAAGAGATCCTAAGACTGAACACTGACTGCTATAAATGCCGTTTTTAGAGCACATTTCATAGTAAGTGATTTCATTCTAGCAGCAATGAGGAAACGTTTAAAAAACATGCTGTACCAGCTATTACTTTAAGACCTCGTCTCTTTAAGTTATTACTTCATTCTAATGCATATATTAAAATGGTTTTTAACTTATGTACTTATGATTAAAAGATGTAGGTATTTTAGTTATGTTATAATAGAAATATATGATACTTTGTATTGACTGACCTACTGGCCATTCCACTTTTACTCCCTTTTTTTATAAATTATCAAATTATTTAAAAACAAATACATACCTAGCTATTTTCTGTAAATTACATTAAAATTTTAGTATTAATACTTTACTAATAAAACTTCAGTTAATTTATCTTATATATATACACAACGGAAGAGTTAATTGGATTTTCTCCTTGTTGAGTTTCAAAAATAGTAATTTAACATGATTTAAAAACAAATACATGAAATGGGCAAAATAGGCCTGCAAAGACACTTTGTAAACAGTCTCACTTGTATCGATGTGACGTAATGCGCGAATTCAATCTGGCTTACTTTTGTTAATAGATTGGCGTTCCATTTTAAATATACAGTTCACCTGGAATAGATTATTTAAATATACACGGACCGGGAAAACAAGTACGAAAAAATTCACTGGCTCCTGGACTAGTACTGTATCGAAGGAATTTTTATGAATGAAACAATATACGACCCTCCACAATTGCGGTCTACTCTACTTCCGCTGTTGTCAGACATTATTTTTTTTTTACAATTTAAAGACCTAACAGTAATTCAAGCAAACGCAATAACATTACTACAGTTAAAAACATCGCAAACTTGGTATCAATATTTTAATTTTATTCAAATATTGCATTTCTGTCGAGGATCATCCGCGTTGACTTCAGAAATTGTGTAATCTGTATTGGTTATATATATCTATAGTTAAAAGCACGTAAACTTGGCATCAATGTTCAATCCGATTATTGAGTTTCTACCGCGGACACCGCCGTTCATTCTTCAAAAATTTTGTAAATAATCCTATCTGTCTTGGTTATATATCTATGGATACAAACAATCTTACAATTGGTGCTGTATTATCACAAGAACCCATTTTGAATTCTAACTCAACTTTTCTTTTAATAATTTTTAATATTGTCAAAAAAAGTACTTTACTCTTGCACAAAATTAATATTTTTGACACACCTGGTATACGACTGAAAAAATTTGATATCTTATTTTAGCTTTTAGATAAAGTAAAACTTTTCATGGAGAATATTTTTTTTCCACATACTGCGAATTTAAGTAATAAACACTAACCATATTTGTATATAAAGGGTAAAAAAAATTAAAATTTAGTGAGTTAATATTGAAATTTAATTATAGGTCAAACTTTTATCAACAATACATTTTTTTGAAAAATTAAAAATAAACAAATTTGCCATAGCTGCAAAGTTTTTGAGTCTCACTGTATATGATAAACCCTGGCGTTATAAGCTGGATATGACTATTAGGTAGAAATTTTATTAAAGAACTCAAATCTAAAATGTTTATTTCAATAAAAATTAAACGAAAGATTAACTGAGACAACTTGTATAATAGTAGGTACATATGAACAAAAAATATTCTGTGTATTTTTTGTTTTCCCTCGTATAAGGTAGGAAAAAAATAAAATATAATAAGTTACTTTTGAAATTCAGTTGTATGTCAAACGTTTATCATAAATAACTTTATCTGAAAAATCCAAAATAAAAAACTTTGTCATATACTGTATATTTTTTGCGCCTCACCTTGTGTTATAAGCTTATTGAGACAACCGGTATAGTAATATATCAAATAAAAATGTATCTTTTTTTTAATACAACACCCTGTATTTTCTTTCAGTTTTATAATGATCTAGTGATACTGTAGTAAACCCTAGAATGGTTTTAAAAAATATTGCAGTTTTGCCAAACAACTAATTTGTTAAATTAGATAATGATACAGATTCCAAATACAATTATTATAATTTAGATAGGAAAGCAGGGATTTCAAAATTGTTTAAAATGCAGACTTATTAGATAGTGGTGATAGAACTAATTTATTTTATATAGAGTGTTTTAAAACATGTCTTAAATATGGCTATTTTTAAGTTCAATTTACTCAATTTTTTTAAAAACAACACTTTGTATATTATTTTAGCATAAAATTACTTATAAATATTCCTATCCAAGAATACCAACATGTTAGCCAATTATACACATACATCAGTACTTAATTAATCAATAGCTGTTTTATTATTGGATATACGAAGAAATTTTTCATATAAACGATTATTCTTAAATATACAGGGTGGTACTTAAACGAGAGGCGGACCAAACTTATACTTTTTTGAAGCATAAACCCCTGCTACACATATTTGATTGTTTTCACATCGTCAAACAATTTTACAAAAAGTGTACATTTTTATTTAACGTATGTTGACAAATCAATTTAGATTTAAAACGTTTGACTTTACGAAAAAAATCTAAAGTGTATTATTTATTATTTTTTGCATTTATTTATAGCTCTATCTATACGCCAAGAGAATTAAAGGTTATTTAAAATGGCCGAAATTCTTAAGAATAATGAAGACAATAAGTGAACAACATAATTGTTATAATAACCTATATAAATAATATAAATTTTACA